TCAAAAAAGAATAGTTTCTATATAAAGATCCCCATATCCAAGTTAATACTGAACCAATGTTCCTTTAAATTGCCTTTCATGAAAAGGACTTCCTGTACTACATGTGCAATTATTTGGTAAACTTTCACACGCTTGGAGGTCTGAAACCATGTCTCTGTTGAAAACAAATGGTAGGTTCTTCTGTCTTCGAGAAGAGTGATAGATTGGTTCCTGTCCCTTATAAACAGACAACATTTTAAAATTCAGCACTTTTCTCTCTGGAAAAACACTGGTAAGCCCATAAACATCCTTCACAATCTCTCATATTAGTACTTGCCTAGGGAGGAGTGATACTTCTCCAGGGTTTTAATTTACTTTTTGTTAAGAGGTTGTGCTTTAATCTTGGGCTGGTGCCAACACGGTTTGAACCCTAAAGATACTAGAATAGCAGATGGTGTCAGATGGCACTGTCATTAACCGGTGTCACTGGAACTGCCATTTAACAGCCCTGTGTTGGCTTGAGCCTGCGATGTAATGAAACTTTGCTCTTTGAGACTCTCCAGATTGACTTCACGTTGAACTAACACCTCAAACTCAGCTCCACGTCAAATGTGAAGGACGAGTGAGGAACCTTCCAGCAGATATTACAGGGCCTTCTTGAGTGAGGTTTAGGTGCACATCTCTTATACAAGTTATTCATGATCTGCTCTACGACATCAGACAGAGGTCTTATTTACCAAGGAAGATATTATTCTGAATGCACTTAATAGCTTGATGCTTTTTTTTCCACATAGTGAAAGAAAGGAGGAGACAATCAAAATTCTTCAAAGGGTAAATAACCTTACGACAGGTTATAATGCTGTAATACTTAACTGGTATATTACAGCTTTCTGAATCACTGAGCCTTGAAGTATTTATGTGCACTAACAGAAGAGTACCCCGCAGAAAGAAAAATGCTGAAGAACATTATCATATTACTGAATGCACCAGGCACAATATTAATTCCTGAAAGAGACAAGTGAATGTGAAAATGTACCTGTGATGATGCTGCAGCAGTAACAGCGAAGAAGTGTAACTGCCATAGCTATCAGCTGAGCAATATTCTGCATTTACACAGCAAGCAGGCCGCAGGACAGGTTTACAAGATTGGATGTATCTTCATTTCATTAACAGAAAAATTGAACACAGAATTTTTTTTTTTTTTGAAAGCTATGACAAGTTGTGAAAAAGGGTGGGAACAGAAGTAAAATCTGCTTTCCTGTCTGGCCATTTTACATATGAAAATTTCAAGATTTCTCCCTGGAGGCATTAAAAAGCATTCCACCTTAGCAGTCCTTCAGTGGTTAAGGGAGAGAGGCAGAAAAAAGCAAAGATCTTCCTAATGCACAGCTCTAAGAAGGAGACAAAGATCACAGAATGACTTTCCTCCATTTTCATAATCAAACCCCCATTTCTAATTTCTACACATAGTGCTAAGTCGTAAAATTTCAGAACCATAATTCATTCCCATGGTAACATCCCCCGATATTACAAGCAGTTAATTATGTTGTTGCCATGTGGTACACGGTGTGGTTTATTTACGGAAGGAGATAAACATTTAATGAAAGCATCTTCAAATATATGAACAAAGAAACCTGTGGTTCCACCCATCTGGTACTTCCTCATGCTCTATGCAAACAAAATGCAGTATTAAGAGATATCTGCTGAAATCTATAGAAATACAACAGTGTTGGTAAAGAAATGTAGCATTATAGGGTAAAAAGGAGAATTTTTTAATTAAGCTAAATTATTTTCTGAAAAGAGAGCATATAAAAATATACTTGGTATAGGTGGATTTGATATAAATAGATTATAAATTACTGGAGATTCAAACAGAGCGGATGATTTTGCGGTCATTTTGATCATTTCTCAGGTGCAACACAGCATCTCTGCCATGAAGTAACTGCATCTGACTGTCATCAGGATCCCCCTTGTAGAGAAAAAACCTGAGAAAAGACAGCCAATAAGTTCTGAATCGTTCTTCTAGAAATCACAAAAAAGAAAATTCTGATTTATGTTGCCAATTAAACAATTCTGTGGTGAATGATCACTGCATATGTATTTTTATAAGCTTGAATTAATGTTGTTTTATTAAAAAGTGACCTGAAAATATAATGCAGTCAATGCAGGAACAAGAATATTGGTTGAGTAATAAACTCTGGAAATAAAACCTGTTGAAGATGTCAGGCTTTTTTTTTAAACAAGAACCTTAAACTTCATAAAATTTAAAAAGAAGGCTTTAGACCAAAATCTGACTTATTGATAATCCTTAAAAACGTTGTCTTTTTGTTAAAGGAATCAGTTCTGGAAGTCTCCTCAAATTTTAAATATCTGTATGTTTTTATCAATATTAAATGTATGATAGCTAAGTCTGCAGTTAGAGTGGTAGCAAAAAATAGTGTATGTTGCAGAGTTATTCAAACTATTCAGCTAAAAAACCAAATGACAAGTGAATTTTAACATAGTCAAAGGCAAGGAACACACATGGAAATAAACATATCCTGGTTTTCCCT